AGAGTTAACCAAGATAATTATCTCTTGAATTCATTTGAACAATCCTCCCCATTACAATACGAATGCTTTACAGAGAGCCTCTCCCTAGTCCCATATCAATGTCCATACATTGTCATGACTAATCCTTTAATTCACCAACATTACTAGATGAAATTCTCCTTCTGGCATATACATGGGAATTCACTTGTAAGAACAGTAATCATACACACATTTTTCGTGGGCACAAGAAGAAGTGAAAAGAGAATTCAAAGAAATATTTTGGTGCCACAAAAAGGCATAATTAACAGAATTTCCAGTCAGTCAAACTATTTCAATCAGGCATGTCTGCATATTCAAAATACTACTGAAGACAAAACCAAGCATACATTAAACAAAGATGCCCATGTGCGCGCACATGGAAAGGTAAACATATGTAATGAGCATCATTGACACAATGGGATGTTAAAGTCAGTGACAAAACTACCCTGGGAATGTTAATGAGAAGAGGAGTTCATGCAGTAAATTCAATGCAGAAAGAGTGCACAGGAGATATTTGCTGCTGCCCACCACTATTACAATTTACCAGGGTATCCACTAAAGAGGGACAAATGTGGGCCATAGAACAGTGACAAAAGTAGTTAAAGCTGAGGTAGTAACTGTTTGTAACAAAATTTAAAGACGGAAACCTCTTTGTGTCATACCTGTAAATTTGTTGCTTCCAACATGGGGCCTTACATTGACTGCTGCATAGACAGGGAAGGGGTTTTGTCCCCACCTGACTGCTGCCTGCTGGTCAGATAGCTTTGATGGATCCTCCTGGATATGGCAGAATAAAATCACATCACTATGGTGAACAGTTTAGCCTTTAAAGAGATTCCTCTTGCCCTTGCAATATTGTGTGATAGAGGTAGTTTATCACATAACACAAGGGCAAGAAAATTCTCAAATAACCATGAGTCAGTATTATTTGATGATCACTCAACTAATAAATACATATTCAAATAAACTCAAAAGCATTTCATGGACAAATTGATAATCTAAAAGGGTTTGAATTTATAAAGAATATTATTTAAACAAAATGGCACAACCAGCTTTCAAAAGGTAATTCAAACCAACAAATATCTGCCGTGTGGGGGGGGGGGGGGGGGGGGGGGGCGCGTTAATACCTCAGGGAGTCATTTTAACTTTTCAAAGGGTGTAGGCGGATTAATAATTATACCAGAAACAAAGGATACCTGTATAAGTTGTACTCCCATTCTAATATAATAAAGGGCTTAGTCTGTCTGTCTGTAACACTTTTGGCCAACTGCAAATGTGCTGCTGAGAGGGTGGGCGGTGATGGGCCCAAGTTTGAGCTGCTGCTGGGGAATTTGTGTGGCAGCGGCAAACACGCCCCAGCTGCCCAAGCAACAGGGCTTCCCCACACCTCCCTCCTGCCCTTCCCAATGCCCCCCAGAACAGGTGGCAGGGAGAGGGAGGCGGCAGGGAGGGAGGGAGGGAGGGGAGCAGGGCAGGGGGAGGTGAAGGGGGGGGTCATGGTCTTGGCTGTTGTCAGGGTCAGGTTGCGGGGAGGGGGGGGGGCGGGAAAGAGGCCCTGACAAAA